CGCAATTCTGGACAGTCATAAATTAAGTATTTGTTTCATTCGTCTATTCATGTCAATTTCACAGTCTTGTAAAATATACGACCTAAACTCTGTAAAGTCATAAATTATGTATTTGTTTCCTTCGTTTGTTCTTCATAGCCATGTGAGCCTAATTTTGTGGTCAATTTAACATGCTTTATCTATGTATAATTTTTTTTTTTGGTTTAAAGTATAAAACAAAAGAATTTTCTTTCATTGAGAGATGTATATGTAATATTCTCTTATGAAATTTATTTTTAAACCTGAATCTTTTTATTGTTGGAACTAGAGTTGGACTCAAGACCGTAGCACCTCGCGGCCAGTGTCAAAGCCGGCCGTGCTTCTACAGTACATGAAGAAACGAATACGACTTGAATATTTTTGTATATATGTTTTTTATAAACATATATATATACATATATATATATATATATATTTTTAATCTCGATAAATTCTTAGGTTTAGCAGAGAACTTTAACAGGAATTTGAACACTTGATTTTTATTTCCCTGATCGTCTATGCATGGAGCTACCAGATTTGAACCTGACTTATGATATAATAACGGGTGCACTTAACAAACTTCAAAAGTTATCAAACCATAACGTATAGTTGCATCATTGATTACGAAGCATAGAAACTAGAATACGATGTTATTTTTATTTTTATTTTTTTTTTGTAACTGGGAATACGAAGTTATTGACGAATATATAAAAAAGACTCGAGACTTGATTACATATCTTTATATAAAAGACTTGTTAGCTTAGTCTACATCATGGGCTCTATTTAAAGCACAAGAAGCTTTGCTTCAAACATCAGAACAATTAAACAAGTACAATCTTAAGGACCAAAACATTGCACCTCTTTAGTTTGGTGTTTTGTAATGGCAATCTCAGCGATGGGAAAGAAAAATGTGGTTTTGGCCCTAGCAATGTGTCTCGTTCTCTCAAGCTTCCATGAGGTTTCTTGCCAGGTAAGCAAGCCACATTCATATACCTTTTGCTTAATTACCATACAAGACAACTAAAAGAAGGAATAATAAGCTGAATATCAGAATTCAAAATGACTTGCATGCATTGATTTAATTCTTGTTTCAGGTTGGCGGAAGCAGCGAATTTAGAACGTTAGATAGCCAAGAATCTGAATGTAAACTATATATATTTGGACAAACTTAATATTTTTGTTGTCTTAAGATTGATATATAAATAGCCAAAAGAGGATATATATAAATAGCCAGGGTATATATTGAATTTGGGTTCTATTTGGTTGCAGCTAATGTCCAAACCTTCGAAGGGAAAGCCACATCTTCTGTGTCTCACTCGGTTGAAGCCGAGGTAAACCTAGAACACTCATTTAATGTATATAATTAATCTTAGGTTAAAAAGTTAACCTAGATCATTGTTCTAAGCTTAATTCATGAGGAATCTGATTTCCTTTTTTGGCATGTCTTAAAGGTGAAGTTTTTTTTCCTAATCTCTAGTTTGTGTACTTTGGATTATATAGTCTGAAGCTGCTAGTAGTTATGAAGCGGGTCAAAGTTCGAGCAGTTCGGATGACATCAAACGTCTAATGGAAGGTATAGTGTTACACATTTTAATTAATAGGATTAGAACTATCTATTCAGATTGAACAAAATAGGCCATGCAGATCCTTTATGTTATTAATAGGTCTGTCCTTTTCAATTGTAGGTTTTAATAAAAATGCTGGATCTGAAGCTGAATTAACGGATGCTTCTGAAACCGGTAAGAGGTTCTTCCTATTCCACACTTTGTTTCTCCAAGGCACAGATGTTTTTGGTAATATATAACAACAATTTTATTATGTGATTTCAATTTAGGTTCTTCGAATCAGGAACGGGTGAAAGAACTTCAACGCCAGATGGAAGGTAACTTTGTCTATATATGTTTTCTTAGAAAACGTTGAAGTACCATTCTTAGTGCATGATAGTGATATTGTTGAATGAACGTTAAGAGTTTCCCTTGTTTCATTTTGATCCTAGCTTCAGCATCTAGAAGAACTGTTGTAGAAGGAGAAGAAGAAGAAATCACAGAGGCAAAGAGTAATCTGGAAACACGTGGAACCACATTCCAAGGTACACTACACATTGAGATGATTAACATTTTATAGAGTTAAAAGTTTTTTATTTGTATTAAAACTTTTTTTCATGTAAATTAAGAATCAATGTAATTGGTTGAAGCTTATATTTGTTCATTTTTTAACTTCTAGGGGGTGAAAGTACAGATGATGGAAGCGATATAAGCAAAATATATTATAAAAACAACGGTGAAGAGGAATGTAAGCGTACACTTCATTCAATGTTCTCATCTACTTCTTTATATGTTAGTTTTGCAAAAGAGTTAAAGTCAGTTATTCTGATTTACATATATCATGGATTGTCACAGCTGAGGGAAACCGAGGGTTCGTGATAAAGGAACCGACAATAACTAGATACGATGGTATATATAATCTTCCTATTATCATGGCAGTTCTTAAAAAGGTTATCAGATCATCGTGATGTATATAACTAGTTATCTTCTTTCAGATGGGTCAATGGGGAGTCGTCAACAGTATGAGTCAAAGCAAGAGTCAGTGGAGAGTCGTCTAGAGTATGAGTCGAAGACAAGCAGTAGCGGATCAGGGGTTATAGGATCTCTATCAATTGGACAGACAGGTTTGTCTCTCAATTAACCTTTTAATCTGGACATACCATACACAATCATTAATATAAAAATTGTGAGAAGAAAATGGTATTAATTAAGATTATTGTCTAAGTGTTTGCAGTGTATAAATTGCAGTGTATAAATTTAGTTATTGATAAAGTTTACAATATAGAAAAAGTCCAAATTTACAAAGGTTTTCCAGTTATATGTATATTAAATTTTTCTTTTCCTATTACTATTTATCAGTAAAAATTATATAATTGTCAAATTTTCTGATAACTGTAAGCAAAATATGCTCAAGTCCGTGTGGTAATCTCTAAAATGCCCTAATTACACAAGAAAGTCAAAAGAGCTTGATTATTTTGTTGTGGACGTATATGCAGGTGCGTGGCGCTGTATTAACCCAGACAAAGATGGTGTTAAGGGAGACGATTCTATAGTTATACCAAAGTATGACTTAAAATGATATTATCAAGGAAGAATCCATTAAGGTAATCCTCAGACTTTTGGAGAACATCTTTCATGAAATATATACATATGTACAATTATTATTGGGGTAAAATAAGTTATTTTAGTAACATCACTATTATTGTTTTAACTTTGATATGTAGGGCTCCTCGTCAAAAACATCTAGTCTCATAACATCGCTAACCGAGATTGTTGATAACCATAAGAAAGGACGATGGACAGATGTAAAAATAGGAAAAATTTCTACTACAGAAACATCAGAAAAAGTAAAGAAACTAAAAATGACCCTGAAAACATATGTTGGTATAAAGGTGCGTGATCTCGTGCATCGTTCAGATTACGAGGAGATATTGACAATGGCTGCACGTTATGAGGAGCTAACCCGAGCTAAAGTAACCTACATCTCGAGGCTGGCCACGTATGGGACTGTGATAAGAGAAGGATTCAAGGCCTCTCAGCGAGTGAAAACTGTACACCAACGTGTCATATTGCATGAAAACGTGGCCATAGAGAAGCAGAAAAGGGTGGACGCTGAGTTCGAGTTAGTCAAGGCTTTGGCTCAGAAAGGAGACAATTTGGCCGTACAAATATTCGCTATGAAGAAGGCAGTGTTGAAGCTTGAGGCTGAGAAGAAACAAGTTGAGATTGAATTTCAGAAGATTGTTGAGAAATTATCACGAATTCTAGAGGAATCGTCTCAAGCATACGAGAAGCATCGTGTGGTTGTGCGTGAGTGGAAGGAGGTGCAAGCATCTTATGAATATTCACTTGAAACCGTCGAGAAGGCAGATGTGGTTTGGGTTCAGTTTCTCAACACTCTTACTTAGACAAACGTTGTATTTTTCTTGTTCTCTTCTCTTTTGATTTTCACACTTTTTATCTTGTTTATGTTTCATAATTCCCTGTCATTACCTTTCAATAAAATTGGCTTACATTTGTTTTCAACTGAGATCATATATGGAATAATGTCATCATTATAAACTAAATCAATAAACTTATTTTATCAATTCAAAGCTAAAGATATATATATCATCATGGCTTTGAAGTAATATGCGTAAAACTCGCTGAGTTGTGAATAATTTAGTTTATTCAACAAATAACTATTTTTATTTGACCATATTTACTCGGAGGCGTGCTTACAGTGTGTTAAAAGAGGTATTCCGCCTCAGACCGATGATTAATATGACATTTTTAGGGCCCTAGAATTTTAAGCAATTTTATTCCAGTAGTTTATACTCATTAAAAAAATTTCCACTAGAGTAGACTAACTCACCTTTTGAATCCATATATTTTTTCTATATAACATATACCACGTAATAAATTTATTATTGTACAGTGTTAAATTTGTGTATTTGAAAAAGATGATATGTCTTATTAAAAAATTATTTTCATTATAATTGTAAATAAGTTTATTTTTAAAAATTGTTTTAGACCTCTATAACTTTTCGCATGGCACTGTATTTACTTCATCTCTTTAATACAGATTAGCTGAGGCCAGATTATTCTAAGAAATAAGAGGGTATTAATGTATTTAACTCCTTGTCTACTTGTTGTTATTATATTGTAAGTTTCATTTGATCATTTTAATTTGAATTATCACTAGTTACTTGACATTTTTTTGATTCAACTTGTTTAGTTTAAACTAGATAACAACTTTCATTCAGTAAGTTTACTTTTACTCTTTCAGGTTCACTTTTCATTAGTATTACAATGAAATGTTGTATGATTAGGGATCAGTGTAGTTGAAGTTATTAAATTCCAACAATATCAATATCGTCACTTATATGAGTTATATCTATAGATCTTATATTACCCTTTCATCTGGGTAAGTACTTTAAACAAATTTGTCAAAAAAAAGTACTTTAAACAAACATAGAATTGTATGTATACTATGTGCTAAAAAATTGTTGATTTGTAAAAAGTAAACTAGAAATCATAGTCCACGTCTTGAGATGCCGATTTTGAATTTGATGCTCTCCTTTATAAATATACTAATGTACTGATGAGTGAGTTGAGGCCGACACATGTGTTGTTACATATGCATAATCATATACTCCATAATATGTATTTTATTATCTCATGTTGCACGCTAACATTATTCTATACCTGTAAACATTTCTCCACCAATGAGTGAAATATAAAGTACTGATCGGCAGACATAGTAAATATATAATATACTAGGGGTAGGCCCGCCCTGCGGGCGGAAAGTTATAATAAAAACTATTTTATATAAAAAAAAAATATTAAGTTATGAAATATTTTACAATTCATTGTGATTGAAAATGATACCCTAAACAAACAAATAATGATTACAATTATGAGATTATATTGTTATTTTAATACACTTTTTTTGTTATATTCGTTAATATTATAGTGATATTTATTTTTATTTTTACTTCTATTGTTTGGTTATATGTGAATTATAAATTTCACGTGATCACTTTTTGTAGATTTTAAGGAGATTGGATCTTAGAGTTGTTGCCTTTAACTAAATTTGTAATACGTACATAAAATAGTTAGAAAGAGTGCAGTGTTCGGTTTTAATTTATGCTGAAAAGCTATTTTTATTTGTTTCTTGTACTTTAAGTTATGTCAGTGATGTTTCACTATGTATTTTTGTCTAGTTGTTGTATTTTACCGAGTTCATTCAAATTAAGCAAATATTAATTTGTACTTCTTAATAAAAGAATTTCGGTAGATTTTTTCATATTTATGATACTGTATAGATAAATGTAAACGCATACAAATATTATGATGCTTGGCGAAGAAATCGTCGTCTTATGTCTGTGTTGTTTTAATGTTTAGTTACTCTTATTTTCTTTGTGTATGTTGTATACATTGAGTTATTTATTGTTGAAGCTACTATATATTTATTTTATATTTCATTCAGTATGTTTGTGTACTTAGCATTTGAATCCATCTTCATTGTTTAGATTTTTAAAATAAAGTGGTCATAATTGATATTTTATTGGAGATGCTTTCTTTCGTATGTATTCGTAACAGCATAGTTGTCCATGCTGAACAAAATTACATGCTCTCGAGTTTAAGCTATGGTGGTCATATAATGTTGTTGTAAAGAGTGGGACTAATATTTATTTCGTACACATCTAAGTTTGATTATTTTCCTCACCTTTTTATTACTGTTAAAACGATTTCACAATTTTTTTCAAGATTTGATTTTGATGTGCTAAGCAGTCTTTTTTGGGAGGGCGAAGTCTTGAATCTTGTCTTCAGGGGAAATTCTTTGGTTGCGGAGCATGACACCGCCTATGCAAGCCTCATGTTCAAGTAGATTGTAAATTCGTTGCAGCCAGACGTTGTAGTTGCTCGGAAGTTTGTATCTGGGAAAGCTTTGTTTTCTTAAGACATTAGTTTATGAGTGGTGGATGAAGGTAAGGTAGATTTGTCGTTGTTTAGGAGGTTCTGTACTGATACTTTTGCGTGCTTGAGTTTTTTTAGCAGTCAAGAAAGTTAAATTCCAAATAGTTACTTTGAGTTTTAATATGCACGTCAATCTACTTTGTCAGGTAGAAGAAGTCGTATATGCAGGTTGTGGATTTTGAAGACTCTTGTGGATCTTGAAGACTCGTAGTCCTAATGAGATTCATATTTCCAGGTGGCAAAATCAGTAACATGTGTCATATTAGCAAAAGATTTTTTGTATTCCCACTCGACATACTGGAAAGAACAGTTTCAAGTATTTCTATGGGTGCATAAAAAGTGCATATAACAAAAAGAACATTCACTACTCAAACACGGAAAATCAACACATAAAAATAAACAAATAATTATCATTCTCACTTACCAATCAAACCCAATATAAAAACTTGTCCATTTGTAGAATCTATTGATTCTCAAAGAAGGCACAACACCCCAACAACAATAACCAGAACCCTAATCTTTTTATTCTAGTATTGTTTCTGCGCCTACGCAATGTGTCTGATGTACAAACAACAAAACACCTAGTTTGAACTCCTTTTCCCCGTCTTTTATTTGGCTCATGTTGTAATTGCGGTTTTAGCTAGCGATTATGGCTTTATTGCAGTCTCTGGATTAAGAGCTTGTTTGATCTTGAAAATTGTCCACGCCGTTCCAAGAGCATGCCCTTCTGCTCCAAGAGGGTCACACCAGGAGCGTCCTATTGCGGTATCATAACTTCTCTTTCTGCATTTTCTTTTGTTATGCAGTGAATGGTTAGGTGATTCAGTTGACTGTAAACAACATTAGTAACATGAAGGAGTGATATCAATGTGTCTTTGACTTACTACTGATGAGTAGATTAGCATTTTCCTTGCTGTTTATTAAACCTATCTAGCTGTCTCTTTAGATCCATCTGAAAAGTGTTTACATAGAAAACATAAATCATTAAGAAACCTAAGAAACTCAAAGTAGATTCAGTTAAATATTAACCAAGACGCTATCCGATATGTATCAAACGAAAACCGGATTTGTTCAAAAGATGATGCATTACTGAATAGCAGTAGAATTCGAGCATGATTGACACATCCCCAAACAATAAAATTAGGTTTTATGACTCGATCTTTTTGCAATGAATACGGTTCGATAATCTGGATATGATAATTAATTTATCCAATCTAATAAGGGATTGGATACAAACCTTTAGAGGAAAAAGAATCAAATTAAGAAAGATTGATTTGAAACAAAAACAGACAGAGGATCTGGGTGCATGTTAAGTTTAACAGAGAAGGTGGTGGGAGCTCTTTCGTGATTTTTTTTTTGTTTAATACGATTAAAATATACCTCCTCACAACTGCCAGCCTTCAGATCGGAAAGATAGACTTGGGAAATAGCCATTGATGTGAGCTTCAGTTTGGTAAGGTATCGAGTGATAGAAAAAAAGAGATCAAGAGGAAGAGACGTAACGTACCCCATAGCAGCTGAGTCTCTGGCCATCTGAAAATTTTCCACAGCGGCAGAAGAACAAAGAAACCCTAAATTCAAGAGGATCCTTGGCCACAAACGGGCCTTCACAATTGCATAGACCAAAACAAAATTTCGAAGCCCACTCTAAAAAGTGTTGACATGTCATTTTTTGCCCCCATCACAAATGCTGAGGTGGACATCCTAAGAAGGGAGAAAACTCCCTTTTATTGTATAAGATGTGCTTATCTAAAAGATACGCTTTGGTAGTAGTGATCATGATCGCATTATTGATTTACATAAGCAAAGAAGTTCCCAGAACGTGGATAATTTTTTCTTTTATATAATACTAACATGGATGTTAAATGTAATAAGCTTTAATGGATCTTCTTTTTCCAAAATTTACCTTTTAAAATTTTTCTAATCTGAAACTACATCATTTGCCCTTTTAAAAAAAATGAAACTACATCATGTAATATTAAATTTGTTTCAAATGTTATCCCATGATGTCTCTCTGTATTTTGTTTCTAATGGTGTGTTCCAATGGAACAAAGAACACAATTGATGACAAAAAAAAAAAAAAAACTTTTATCTTTATTCTTCCAAAATAAGTAAGTTACATTATAATGTTAGCCTAAAATAAAACTGTTATTATTTATAAAGAGTGTATATTGGATAAGCATAATGCATGGGCGTTGACTAATTCGTAAGCAGCAGGAACGTGGAATATATATAAAATAAAAGCCACGTGAATTTATATTATTAAATTAAAAAAACCACGTTGAGTTGTTAACTTGGGTTTTATTTAAAGTCTTGTTATGTGTTTTCTCAAGCTTCAACACAGGGTATCTCTCTTGATCTTTGTGATAACAACTTACGCCATGGGAACAAAGTTCTTAGCTCTTGGTTTGTCTTTGTGTCTTGTCCTCTCAAGCTTCTATCAAGTTTCTTGCCAGGTACGTCACACACAAAACATATTTTCTTCAACCATATTTATATATATATTACTAATTTCAAAAGCATTGACTTTTGGTGTTTAGGATGAAGGAACTCCAGGTTTGAGTTTGGATCTAATCGAGCGTGAATACCAAGGTAATCTTACGATATGTTGTCTGAAGAAACTCATAGTTTTTGTTAGGTCAAAACTGAAGAAACTAATATGTCTTATATGAACACAAAATCTTGTAAAATAACAATGGTATTTGGTTTCAGATAATGTCAAGTCTCTTCAAGGCAATGAAGGAGAAGATCAATGTAAGAGACACTTCTCTCTTGTTTCTTTTTTTTTTTTCTTTTTCTGCAAATTACTAAGACAATTAATCTCTTTGTTGTGTATGGAATCATCAGCTGGTGGTCAGAAAAACAGTACAGTGACGGTTAACAAGACTATCTCTCTGTCGATATCGGAAGAATCAGTGGAAACCCTTAAAGATTCTACTGTTACCTCGTCTCAGGTCACTTACTGTTTTATTGATTAGCTTGTTTGGATTTGGATTTGAGTTTAGGATGACTATGATCTAAAGATTCTTGCAAAGTAGTGAACTCTTACTTTGGATCTATAGGTAGGAGTTGTTACTGATGAAGGCGTTCAAGCTTCAAGTATGTTGGACCATATCGAACTTGAGTTCCAAGGCAAGTCAAGACATTTACTCTGTTTTTTCTTAAAAGTTGATTATGGATCAAAATCTTGACATGAAGGGATTTTACTTGATTTTTACAGCACATATCAATGAGCTTAAGAAGGCTGGATCTGATGGTATCAACAAGGTTGATGAATCTAAGGATGATGAAGAACTAGGTTAGAAACAAATACTCTTTTTCTTTCATCTAGAACCCTTTTTTTCTAAAAGAGTGTTTCTTATGCTGCTTTTGTAGTTTTAGCTGCTCAGAGGAAGAAAATGATGGAAGAGATTGAACGGGAGTTTGAAGGTACCTTTAGATGTTTCTGTCTAACTTCACATTAGTTATTTATACAAATGTTGTTGATAGATTCATGTTCTGACTGTTTGCTCTTGTTTTAATTTCATTATCTGATAATTACTTGCAGCTGCTGTAGCAGGATTTGAAAAACTCAAGATTGATGGTTCCACTCAAGGAAAAGATGATGAACAATGTACAAAACACACATTCTTCCTCTAGTACTTGATATGATCATTTTTTGTAATATTCTAAGTCCAAGTTCTCTGTTTTATATTCTTGTATTACAGCTGCAATGAGACAAAGTATGTTGGATGAGATTGAACGTGATTTTGAAGGTACTTTGACATGGTCTGCTAAATAAATTACTTGATACTGAAATATGTTTACTAACAATTAGTTTGTGTCTTCTGTTTCATTACCAACTTGAAGCTGCGACAAAGGGTCTTGAACAACTGAAGGCTGATGATTTAACTGGAGTCAATGATGCAGAACACGGTAAAAAAGAAATCTCCCATTGTTACTTTGTTTGATATTTACAAGTATTATTGAGTCAGATTTTGTGTGTTGTTATAGCTGCAAGGAGACAAAAGATGTTGGCAGAGATTGAAAGAGAATTTGAAGGTACCTTAGTACTGTTTAACCAGTATCTTCATTTTTTTCTTTAAGAAACCATCTTAGACTCTGTTTTTATCCTCTGTTTTTTCAGAAGCTACAAAAGGTCTTGAAGAACTAAGGCATTCCACTTCAAGCACAGATGATGCATCACACTGTAATAATTTCTTTCCTTACATTTCATGATACATCATTCTCAGCTAGAGAACTGATAGATCTCATTGTCTTGTTATAGCTGCAACTAGAACAAGTATGCTAGATGAGATCGAACGTGAGTTTGAAGGTATCTTGACATACTCCTAACTGGTTCACATTCTTTGTGGTGAGACTTCTTAGAAGTAAAGATTATGTTTAATCTTCTTCTACTTGCAGCTGCTACAAGTGGTCTTAAACAGCTAAAGATTAATGCTCACACTGTCCAAGTTGATGATAAAGAACAAGGTAAGAAACTCTCATCTCTAGTTTGATACTTTTTTGTCCCTCACAAGTTTCTGAAATAGATATATGTTATGTCTTATTTACAGCTGCCAAAAGACAGAGTATGCTGGATGCAATCGAACGGGAGTTTGAAGGTAACTTGACTTGCTACAATCAGCATCTTTAACTCTTTCTTGGTTTCAAGAAGTTCTAAAAATCTTTCCTCTCTTGCAGCCGTTACCGATAGCTTTAAACAGCTTGATGATCTCGCTGAGAACAAAGATGAGGGAGACCAATGTAAACTAATATCCTCATTTGAATCTTTTTGACGGTTGTTGTACATTTCTTGGTGTTTTTGTCTCAGACATGTCTTGTTGTCTTTGTTAACAGCTGCAAAGAGGCAAAGTATGTTGGATGAGATTGAGCGTGAATTTGAAGGTACTTTCAACATATCAGTATCCATGTTAATAATCTCTTATGTGGTTCCTAGATTAAATTTTGAAATCATTTCCTCTGTTTTACCAAAACTACTTTGCAGCTGCTACAAGTAGTCTTAAGAAACTAAACCTTGAAGATTCCACTCAAGGAGATAACACTGCAGAAAGTAATAACTTGTCCATCTACTTTTTATGATCACATTGCATCTTCCTTAGTATTCTGAAGAATGGTTTGACTTTTTTGTTACAGATGCAATGAGAAATAGCATGCTTGAAGCTATTGAACGCGAGTTTGAAGGTTACTACTTTCACATAACATTGAGATTCACACTGAATGATAATCTTTTTAAGAAGATCAATTATGAAAGTTAAATTATGTTTTATGTTCTTACTTGTAGCTGCTACAAAAAGTCTTGGAGAGCGGAAGGCTAGTGATTCAACAACCCAAGGCAATGATCATGATGAACACTGTAAACAACTCTTCTTTTACAGCTGTATAAAACTATGTTCCATGTTTGTTTATAATCTATATTGAATCAGATATTTGTATCTATGTTTTGTTACAGCGGCAAGTAGACAAAGTATGCTTGATGCTATTGAACGCGAGTTTGAAGGTACTTCAACACATATCCCTCTCTGAGTTTGAAGAAAACTTGAACCATTCTTGGCCATGTTTGCTTATGTATTCTTTTTTCCTGTTCCATGTTTCAGCTGCAACAAGAGGCCATGTAGAATATACTTATAAAGCACAAGGTAATAAGAATCTGCTTACCTATGTTCTTCTCAAAGCCTTCTGAAATAAACTTTAAAAACTTTTATACCCTTTTTTTTTGTTAAAAGTTGAAACTGAGAGAAGCAGCATGTTGGACGAAATCGAACGTGAATATGAAGCAGCTGCAAGTGCAAAGGCTTCTGGAAAATACTGTAAGAAACCACTTCTTCTGTTTATGTCATGTTTTTAATACTTTTTGTCTAAGACAGATCTAACATTAGTACACAAACCACTTCTGCAGTCACAGCAGCAGCTGCAAAGAATACACAAACCATTAGTACAGTGCATAAAACTTCTGGTGGATCCAACTGTAAGTAATCCACAGATTCTCACAAAACACATTTCTCTAAAATGGAACTAATCTCAATGTTTATATGTTTTTCTCCACAGCTGGTTTTAGCAGTCTTTTAAAGTCTACAGGTTAGCTTTAAAGCTCATTCTTGTGAATGTTCTTAACCAAATAAACTAAAAAGAGAGCTACTCTTAATTGTCTTCTCTATGTTTGTGTTTCTTGCAGATGGTGTGTGTGGTTGTTTTAACAAAGACAAAGATGGTCTTAAGGTAGACACAGGTTGTTCAATTAACATAGGGGAGATACTTGCTGAAGAATCAAACTTCCAGGTTTGTTATCTATATTTTTTTCTTTGAAAAAAAAATGGAAGGAGTCTCATATCTAAATCAGTTTCTTGATTTTTGTGCTTTGGTAGGGCTCAGAGACATCTAGCCTCACCAGTTCATTGACCAATCTTGTTCACACTCATAGACAAGAAACAAATTCAAAGGGAGGCACAGTCCTTGTCTCCGAATCAGAGAACATAGAGAGCTTAAAGCTAACCCTAAAGAAGCTAAGAGGTCTAAGCGCACGGGATCTTGTAAACCATCCCAACTTTGACGAGATCATAGAAGCAGGTACACGTTACGAGGTACTCAGCTCAGCTTCAATAGGTTACATCTCTTTGCTAGCCAAATACAAAACCGTCATTAAAGAAGGACTCGAGGCTTCTCAGAGAGTCCACGTCGCGCAAACTCGCGCCAAGCTTCTCAAAGAAACCGCGTTGGAGAAGCAGAGAGCCGTGGACGCAGAGTTCACGTTTGCCAAGACTCTTGCTCATCAGGGAGACGCGTTGTCTATCAAAATCTTTGCGATCAAGAAACTGTTGGTTAAGCTTGAAGCGGAGAAAGTGAACATTGATCTTAAGTTCAAGTCTACGGAGAGTAATCTAGCACGGCTTCTTAAGGAGGCTTCTCAGGCTTATGAAGAGTATCATGTGGCTGTGCGTAAGGCTAAGGACGAGCAAGCTGCTGAGGAGTTCGCTCTTGAGACGACCAAAAGAGCAGAACATATTTGGGTTGAGTTTCTTAGTTCGCTTAATTGAACTAATGAGGTTCTTGATTGTGGTTAAGACATGGTTTCAGGTAGTTGTGGTTCTTGTCTTGTTTTTCTTGGTGTTGTTTTGTTACAGACTTTGTTTGTTGGTTATATCAGGTGAGAGAAGTTGAGTATTTTCAAAGATAAGAGTGAATGTGTGAGAAATTTGTGATCACATATAATGTTTTAGCCCTCTAATAAAACTTTATTTCCAATTCTAGTTGATTAGAGCATATTATGGATCAGTATTTTAAAATGTATTTCTCGATATTAAAATATCAATATTTTAAAAGAATTCAAGTATTGAAATTTAATATTTTAAAATAATATTGTCAATAAAAATGACAACTAGTTAAAAAATTCCACCATCTTATATTTTTTTCCAAATGACTATTAAAATATATTAATAATTCATATATTAATATATATCACATTAATAAAAGTTAAAATATAATAAGTATAATTATAAATATATTTTTTACATCAACGTATATATCATATTTTATATATATAATCAAAATTAGTTGTAAGTGTGCATAAAAAAATACAAACTAATTAAAATAACAGCAATCAATTTTCTTATGGTTAAACGATTAAATTTTTATTTAAATTTATCGATTCCTTATATTAATTAACAACTTATTTTGACCAGTTTAAAATATTTAACTAACACAAAAAAATCCTAAAACATATTTAAATATATGCATATTTAACACTAGATGATAAGACACATATTTAAAATAATATAATATAAATTACAATTCATTTTTTATAAAATGTGAAATCAACTCTAGTGAAATAAAAAAAAAAATTTACATTTTGCAGATAAAGAGATTTGTGAGATCAGTAATATTTTATAAGGAAATATTTTATATAAACTGTTAGTAAATTAGTTAATAACTCCTATTTATTTCTTGAATGGCTCATCAATAATAAGACTTATAATATTTTCTGAAAGATTTCAAAAATGAATTTTAAAACTGATTTGATTATTATTTGTTCACAATCCTCATAATTTTGAAGAGTTCATAAACAAGTTCTGAATAGTTCATCAACTTATCTAAATGGTTCATAAAGATGTTTATAAAGACTTTTGTTTTGAATCCACATCAGCGTCAATCATTTTTCCTCCAAACAGAAAAAAATTAAAGTGAAAAATCTTAAATGTCTGAATGACTCATAAAAGTGTTCATAAAGACTTATGTTTATGAATCCATTACCTTTGAAATAAAGCACAGATTTAAGAAAAAGAGAAACAATACAAGAAATCTCATCAGAGAAATTTCACCAAAAAACATAAACTAGTGTAATTAGTTTTTGAAGGGTTTGGAGTATTTTTCTGAAGGGTTTTCAAAACCTATAGACAATGAGCCTTCCATAATCTGAGCTCGCTAAGAAATGTTATGAACTCTTAACTTGTTAATCTATTAAAGTCTAACACGTCAAAGTTTTACTAAAATCAATTACATAATCCAAATCAAACTAGCAGACTAAATTATACAATAGAATTGGTGTCACTGCAAAATTCTATAGTGACAAATGTGAGTTGTCATGTTTATGAACCGTTTAAAATTTTAAATTTTTTATGATGGGTTCAGAATTATTTTCAGAAGAGATCAGAAACATTTTTTGAAGGATTCAAAATTGATTTATGAAGGATTCAGAATATTTTTTTTGAAGGGTTTTGGAACCTTTCAGACTATGTTTCCGAACCCTCCAAAAATTATTTCTGACCCTCTAGAAAATAATTTCAAACACTTTAGAAAATGCTTGTAATTGTTTCTGAACCTTTCAAAAAAAATATTCTTAACTCTTTAAAAAAATATTCTTAATCCATCAGAAATATCCACATCTGCGTCACTGCAAAATTCTAAATGGACAATGTGAGTTGTCAGATCCGGTTTATCAGATAACTCATTGATTATGTATTATGTCCATAGTCGACTGATAATTTTTTTTCTTCAATCAAATAACTCATTGATTATATCCATAGTATAGACTAAGTTGTCAGATCCAGTTCATCAGATAACTCACTGATTATATTCGTAATAGACGGATAGATAACTCTTGAAATATCAAACAACATCATTGAATGAGAGAGCACAATTCTACAGCTTTTAGAAATCAATTTTGAACTCTTAAAAAATGTTTCTGGCCTTTTTAGAAATAAATTATGAGCCTTTAAATTATGAACTGTTCAGAAATAAATTTGGAACCTTTATTCAGTTTTGAACCTTACAAAAAAAATTCTACGTTTTTAAGAAAAAAAATATTGAATCCTTCAGAAAAATATTTGTACTTGATTCTAAATCCTTTAAAAAATATGATGAACCTTTCAATTTTTTTTTAACTCATCAAGAATAAATCCTTAACCAGTCATAATAAATTAGGAAGAAACTGAACGTGAATATAAAGCAGCTGCAAGTGCAAAAGCTTATGGAAAACACTTTAAGAAACCACTTCTTCTATTTATGTCATGTTCTTGTCGTCACAGGAGCTGCAATAGTTCGTCAACCATAAGTACAATGCAGACAACTCATGTTGGATCCCCAGGTACTGATTGTAGCTAATGTCCCTTCCTCAAATAATAATAAAGGGATTAATAGTAAATAAATCACACTGACTAACTAGAGATTAGTAAAAACCCTAGTTCAAAAACGCAGACGATTACCCGATTACTCGGCCGAGAAAACGTTGGTCGGGATCTTACCGTGGCGAGTTGATGCTGATCGGTTTCATTAATCGGTGGACCGAGTTTTGTCCGCGCCAGCCTCGTAATTGTAGAAATCGGCGAGTTAAAGCTATGAACCGAGTTTATTCAACCCATAAAACCAAAAAAATCATGTTCAAATCTTTACAATACAAAGAAGTTTTCAGTAATTTTTCTATTGGTGAAGTTAATATGTTGGAGTAGCCTTGTCCTATATAGTTACAACATATAGAAAAGAAGTGAGGAAGACGATTCTGGGTTCACATGGTAAAGCTTTTAACGAGATCTGCAAAAAAAGAAGAAGATTATTATTGAAGATAAACATGTGCCAAGCACGTGACTGAGAAATTAATAAAAAAAAACACATGATTACATATTTATTTCTTTCATTTTGAATTTTTTAGTTGTTTCTTCTTGAGTTTAAATGTTTCATTTATAGTATAAATTCATTGACAAATATTGAAACCATAAATATACAGATTATTTTTCCCAAAAAATATATATACCAACTACAACTTAAAATGTTAATTTATATGTATGAAATATGGTATTATACGTGTAGAAATATAAAAATTCCTCCTCGCATATTCCCCGATTTTTTTCCGATTTTTCAATAAATCGTTAGGTTTGGGTATGCTGCACGCGTAGCGCCTAACGAGTTTCCGAACAAGGGTAAAAACATTAGCAAAGCACCAAAATTTTTGGAGATAAGTAAGGATCATCAAAATATTCTCAACTTTGTATTTACAACCAACTACGTGGTGGATAACCACACCGCCAGATCTCAAGTTCCCTCTTCCTATCCAACGAATATAATCACAGCCACGTGTACCTAATATTATCGACAAAACGAACGACTAATAACAACTCACGTGTCATCACGATCCGATTCCATTATCCTTCTCGATCCAACGGACCCAAACCTCTCTCTCTATCTAATGGCGGATTCCGATAACGACTCAGGCGGTCACAAGGACGGAGGCAGCGCGTCGTCGCGCGAGCAGGACCGATTCCTCCCGATCGCTAACGTGAGCCGGATCATGAAGAAAGCGCTCCCGGCGAACGCGAAGATCTCGAAGGACGCGAAGGAGACGGTGCAGGAGTGCGTTTCGGAGTTCATAAGCTTCATCACGGGAGAGGCGTCGGATAAGTGTCAGAGGGAGAAGAGGAAGACGATCAACGGCGACGATTTGCTCTGGGCGATGACGACGTTGGGGTTCGAGGATTACGTGGAGCCGTTGAAGGTTTATTTGCAGAAGTATAGAGAGGTGGAAGGGGAGAGGATGACGACGACGAGTACAGGGAGACAGGGCGATAAGGAAGGAGGTGGAGGTGGAGGGATGTATGGGATGGGGCATCATTATCAAGGACACGTGTACGGTGGAAGTGGGATGAATTAGAGAATGAGCAAACCTCAAGCTTAGATTCACTATAGGCAATGTATTATGTAAATGTCATGTGTTTCTCCTTGTGTTGTTGTTTCTGACTTTGCTTTGGGGTTGATTCTTCTCTGTTTTTGATCAGAGAGCCATTCATGTTGTAACACGTGTTTGTTGATTCCATATCATGTACAAATTATTTACATGAAGAGTTGCCTGGTCTTAGAGAGATAAAGAATGATTGAAGAAATTTACTCATTAGAAGAAGCTGATGTATTATCTTTGCTTGTGTTTTTTTTTGCAGATGGCTTGTGTGGCTGTTTTGACCATGGCTTCTAAGTAGAGTGGAAGTCTCTTACCTCTGATACACCATCTCAGTTTCTTGACTTTGTTACATGTTTTTTGAATTTTGGTTTTTGTTGTTGGAGCTNTAAAGAATGATTGAAGAAATTTACTCATTAGAAGAAGCTGATGTATTATCTTTGCTTGTGTTTTTTTTTGCAGATGGCTTGTGTGGCTGTTTTGACCATGGCTTCTAAGTAGAGTGGAAGTCTCTTACCTCTGATACACCATCTCAGTTTCTTGACTTTGTTACATGTTTTTTGAATTTTGGTTTTTGTTGTTGGAGCTCAGAGACCTCTAAACACAATCACTGTCCAATCTTGAAAAGAAACGTTCGCAAGGGTAGCCACAGTACAAGAGATTTTGTGGATGTTTTAGTAAAATGTATGAGACCCTTAGTGTGTACTTGGATTATTTTGCTTTTGTACTGTAAGTTCGTGATTCAGGATATAACAAATTTCCCCAGTTCTTATCAAATTCCATGCTTAATCTTTGAAGGTTTTGCAATTCAAAGTTGTACTCACTTTTGTAATTTGGAATCTGTATTCTGTAGAAGCTCTGTTAGTTGGAAACTTTTATTACACGTGAAGGGATTATACAAGTGGCAAACACCACTAAGTTACAAAACTATATTGGATCATATCAAGAATTGATGTTCTGAATGTTCTTGATAAGCAAGTTGTCTGCCTCTAAGTTCCAGAAGCATATAGGTGAGAAGTCTTAGGCTCCTGTAGAAGACCAGAACTAAGTACTCGGATCCAGTCAGAGAGCTATGCACAGTGTGTGCAGGTGAGTCTCCAGCACTTTTTCAAAAGCCTACACTGTACATTGCCATGCGATTGGTCCACGAAGGCTGGCCTAGGGTTGATCTCCCAGTTTGTTTCCGGGACTCGGCAAAGAGATAAATTTATGAATCTACCCTGTAGGCTTCACATACATGTTCCAGCTTCCAAGTGAAGGTATTAACTGAACCATGTACTGTCACTTATCTACAGCACTAGCTTCATCATTGATAGTCACAACCCATGGAAATTTTCATCATCTCAGGGTTCTCTCTAATCTTACCCAGCTTCGAACAATAACTCAGAAGGCAAGTACCCTGCAAACGTTGACTCTTGAGCTAACTCTTTTAGTTTCATGTAAATCTCTTCTGATTTAAGATGTGACTTTTCTCCACAAACAAACTCATGAGAAACACCGTTTACTATAATCAAACTACACCCTGGTATCTTCTTGGTAGCTATATCCACCATCTTTCTTCTCACTTCTCGCAAATCATCCCATCTTTCACAAGCTGCATATATATTGCATAACAAAGCATATACAGCCCCATTATCAGGTTCCAACTCTAGAATCTTCTTAGCTGCCAACTCAGCCATTACTTCATCATTATGAAGTCTAGAAGCCCCGAGCAAAGCTCCCCACACAATCGAGTTTGGATCCATTGACATGTTCATTATCATCTCATACGCTTCCTTCACCATCCCAGCGCGACCAAGCAGGTCAACCATACATCCATAATGTGCTAAACTCAGCTCAATCCTATGATCACTTCTCATCTTCGAGAAGATGTTCTTTGCTTGCTCTATCATACCACTATGGTTACAAGCAGAGAGCACCCCGAGGTAAGTAATCTCATCTGGTTGTATCGACACGTCTTGCATTTGAAAGAAAACTTTAATGGCATCTTCACCTCGTCCATTATTGGCAAGACCAACAACCATCGCCGTCCATGTGAACTTGTCTCTCTGACACATTTCATGGAAAACCTTCTGTGCTTTCTCAGAACACCCACATTTGAAATACATATCGATCAAAGCGTTCCCTACAACAACATCGTTCTTGATCTTGTTTTTGTCTATGTATGTCTTAACCCATTCACCTATCTCCAAGGCACCTAGATGAGCACAAGCTGTGAGAACACTAACCATGGTGAATTCATCTGGTACCATGCCTGCATTTTGCATCTCACGGAAAATTTCCAGAGATTCATTAAAGCAATCAGCTCGTAGGTAACCATCGATCATAATAGTCCAAGAAATTCTATCTCTCACTGGCATATCATTAAAATACATCCTTGCTAACTCTAAATTCCCTATGTCAACAAACCCTTTAACAATAGATGTCCAAGATATCACATCTCTAGTCTTCATAGTGTTGAAAATCCTAACCGCTATATCCATTTCCCCACAAGCAGCATATGCATTAACCAGAGAATTCATCAACCTCAAACTAGGCTCTCTCGTACACTCACTAACATATCCATGAACCCTTTTACAGACATCCTTATCCCTAACCTTAGAGCAAGCAGACAGAACAAGAATTAAGGTAACAGAAGTAGGTACAACAAATTTTCTCTCCATCTCCTCGAAAAGTCTCAAGCTTTCTTCATATTGCTTCATCCTATTACACCCAGAGATCATCAAGTTCCAAGAAAAGACATCCTCTTTCCTTCCCCTATCAAAAACCCCACGAGCATCAATCAATCCACACAACGAGTACATTTGCACAAGCCCATTCTGCACATAAACGTTACAACCTAATCCGAATTTCACAACATGACAATGCAGCTTCTTACCACAAGCCAACGCTTCACCCAACTTAAGACCATTGAGCAAAAAGGGAAACGTGTGGCCATCAGGGCTCACACCTTTCTTCAACATACTTAAATAAAATCTAACTCCTCCCTCATCACAACCCACTCTCGATAAACCCTTGATCATAACGTTCCACGCAACCACATCTGGTTCAGGCATTTTGACGAACAACTTATATGCATAACCCATGTCGCCATTTAAGCGACTACACCAGAAGAGTAGAAGCTTGTTTTGGGTTATTGGGTTTGGTTGTAGACCTCGAATGATGATTTGGGAGTGTAGTTGCTTGAATTGGTCGGTTGTTTTGCAGTCTCCGAGGATGGAGATGAAATGAGAGTAGTCATTGAAGAGGACCTTAAAAACCGATGCTTTATGGTTAACTTGATTTCGAAGAAACATCTGTTAGCATCATTAAGCAGAATCAAGAGTGTAAGCAATATATTTAGATTTTTTATTTGAAACAAAAGATATATAAAAAAAAAAAAAAAAAACAAAAAAAAAAAGACAAAAGGATGGTATTTGAGCTCAGACGGCACTTGCTATCGTCATATTTGGTCAGGACGACAGCGACGGGCGAAGCCGTCACTTTTTAATTGTTTTATCTTCACCGCTCGAACCCGGGTCGTACCTCAAAGTTCATCTACCAGTCAACCACTCGACAAGAGTGACCTATTGTGTCAACTCCTACTCTATAATTTATTTAACATAATCAAAACGCATCGTTTTGACTCGGTGGGTAAACAAGAACACAACATATGAAAATTCCGACAATCTGAAGAGAGAAGAGGAATCAATCAAAGAAGTAAAATTGGAAGAAAGAAGATGAATCTCTACGCAGATGATCTCTCTCTTCTAGATTACAACTACAACGTCTCCGGTCCCTTCGGCGAACCGTTATCTCACCGTTTCATCTCTCCTGGCCCTTTCTTCCATGGCGAGGACGACGATTACCGCCGTAACATCAGTTACAGCCCCGTTAGAGCTTACGGCGGAGAAGAATCGAATAAAGAGCATCGGCATGACGGGAAGTCGCCGTTGCCTCTGGGGATGGATTGGAGTGATCCTCCTCGTCAATGGGTATGTTTAGTTTTGCAATGTTAGAGGTCTGTGTCGTAAAAAGATCTCAACTTTTGTTTTAAATTTTGAAGTTAGCAAACGTTTTTAGATTAAAATGTTTTAGTTTTTGAAATTGAAAGGTAAATGTCTTTCTTCTTGCATATCATTTTTTTTTATTGTTTGTTTGGATTTTGTTAATTAAACTATAGGAAGGACGGAACAGTGTTTGGCCACATGATGCTCGAACTGGTTGGAGTTACTGTGTTACTGTCCCTTCTTGGGTTGACCTTCCTAAATCAACTGTTTCTGATCCGGCTGTGGTGTGTATTTTATCTTTACACATTTGTTGATTATTTTGTGTACCAAACTGTTGTTACATTAATTATATTCCCATTAGAACAATCGTATAGGTGTCTTTCCTGTGTATTAGATTTTTGTTAAACTTTTACTTTCGTCCTTATCAGTTTTATAGAGTGCAAGTGGCGATACAATCTCCTGAGGGAATCACCTCCACTAGGATGATACTTAGAAGATTCAATGATTTCTTGGAGTTATATTCCTCAGTAAGTAGTGTTTACTTCCTCTGCCTTTTTCTTAATTCTGACTTACTCATTTGTTTATCTGTGGAACGGTTTGAAAATCATACAATAAACAACTATGACTTGCTTAAATATGATATTCATTCATTTTCTTTGGGTTACGGTGTTTTCATCTTTTATCTCCATTTCCCAGATTAAAAAGGAGTTTGTGAAGAAAAGGTTACCCCAGGCACCACCAAAGAAGAGGCTGAGGATGAAAAATCAGACACTTTTGGAAGAGGTAGATGTTGATTCTCTCAACTCCAAGATTAGTGACAGCGAAAATATATCCTCAAAATGTTTAGTTTATTGCAGAGGAGGCATTCTCTGGAAGATTGGATGAATAAACTTTTGTCAGATATCAATATATCTAGAAGTGCTATAATAGCAACATTCCTTGAGCTAGAAGCTGCTGTCAGGTCTTGTATGTGCTCCTCGTCTTCTTCTTTTTCTCTTGCTAGTGAATACAATGTCAAGCTGAAGTGAATTTATCCGAACTCTCATCCCTTTATGTTTTTGCAGCGTCTTCTTTTGACGAACTTGATGTTGTAAAGCTGTCTGAAAGCATTTCATGTATTGTGCAAATGTAGTAGGTTGATTATTGTTTCTTCTGTGTCTCTTCAGATTTCAATGATGAATATCAAGAAAATGAAGATAGCTCTTTAGACAGTCGTTTGCTTCTACCTGACACCATTTCTGATGCTCCTGGTAGTTCGTCAGTTACCATGGATCATGTCATTGACTCTGCTGATGAAACATCTGATACCTCAAAGCATGACGAAGCTAGTCTCAAAAGTATTGTCTCAAGGAATTCAACTTCTGAAGATAATGTGACTGATTGGCATGAATTAATCACAGAATCTGGACTTCTTGATAATTCCAGACCTGATAGAGCTGCAGAAACTGGAGAGGCGTCAATATCCAGGGAACTTAACCAAGACTACATGAGTAGTCATGAAACTGGGAAGAATGTGGCTATTGTATTTCAATCTGAGGAGAAAAGTAAGTTAAAGAGGGTTGTTGGTACATTAGAGCAGAGACTGGAAACAGCAAAAGCTGACACGGAAGATCTTATCTCGAGGCTAAATCAGGAGTTAGCTGTTCGGCAATTTTTAACAACAAAGGTGTGCACCTTTATCACATAGCCCCAATATTTCCAATATCTTGTTCTGATTTTAGTGTTTGAAATTGGTCTCGTAGGTAAAAGATTTAGAGGTTGAACTTGAAACAACTCGAGAGAGCTGCAAGCAAGGGATGGAGCAAACAGTTCTGAAGGAAAAGGAAAGATTTACTCAAATTCAATGGGATATGGAGGAACTTCGCAAGCAATGCATGGAGATGGAATCATTGTTAAACTCTATCAAGGTTTGTCTTTCTCTTAGTTTCTTTTACAGATTGTTTCATGTGCATTTAACGATACATGTTTGGCTTACAGGACGAGAAAACACATATTGAGACTACAAATGAGTCACTTGTTGAAGAAAATCAAATGTTGCTGCAGCAGCTGGATGATTTAACGGACAAGTTTGAGAACTTGTATAAAGAGCATGAAGAGCTGGAAGTTAAATCAAAAGCAGAACTAAAGGTCCTTATCAAAGAGGTCAAGTCTCTCCGAACCACTCAATCAGAACTGAGAGTAGAGCTTAGCCACACGATAAAAGAAAAGCTGGAGATGGAGGTAAAAACATTACACTCTTTGCAGGATTTGTGATTCAAGTGTTTTGCAATTTGAACTCTTGAAATCTTATGCAATGTTCAGAGAATTGTTCAACGGGAGAAGGATAAAGAAGAGACTGCACAAACCGCAAACAAGAAGTTGATGCATGAGTATGATGTCCTACAGAAGCGTCTTCAAGAATGTAATGTTAAGTTCCACATCGAAGATGAGGGGAAATTAATAGTGGAATCATCATCTCTATCCGAAGGGATTGATCTACTAGCAACATCTGATAATCGAATAGGTCTTCTAATTGCTGAGGTAGGTTCAACCAATCACACTTCGATGCTGAGTTTATGTATATATGTTGATACATAAACTTTAGTGTTGATTGAATCTTATGATTGAAACAGACACAGCTTCTTTCAGAAGAACAAGGAGGAACAGGTGATGTAGTAAGAAAGATACTAACAGAGGTTCTGATTGATAATGCGAGATTAAGGAAGCAGATTAACTCTGTTCTTCGTTGCTCTTTGTCCGGACATGGAGTATCAGTCAGAGAAACCAGATCAGAACAAGACGAAGAAGTTGAAGAAGGGAGTGTTGATCTGGCAAGTACTGTTCTAAGCAAGATCCTTGAGAAATGAATGTAATTAGGTTTTTTATTTCGTATACATATAATGTAATCAATAATCATATACATGAAATCTTGTAATACACTTTTTTGTCATATATATGAAATCTTGTAATACACTTTTTGTCATATATATGAAATCTTGTAGTACACTTTTGTTGTGAACGTGATGGGAAAAACGCAAACGTAGTTTAAACGTTTTTTTTAAAACGTTTCAAGAACCAACGCATAACGTGATATGTGTGTTAGGTGGTTTGTTGTGTGTCTCTCTCTCTCTCTCTTATCCTCCTCTGTTCACGCCATTTACAAAACTGCTTGAAGACGGCAGCTTTGGAGAGATAGAATAAAGAAAGATGTCAGCTTTTGTCTTTGTTCCCACTATGGCTGTTGGAATCCCGAAGCTCTCTAGCTCGAGCTCTGCTCACCGGAGCTTGAAGCCAATGAAGAAAAAGACCATGAGTCGTGTCAAATTCGTGACTACCTTCCGAACTCCTTCACCAAGTTCAGGGACAAAACGGTCATTTCGCGTCATGGTTTCCGACAACAGATCGGAACAAGCAGATAACAACGGGCAAGGAACTCAGGTCAGTTCTATGTGGTAGAGGAAAGCTTGTTCTGTTTTCTTTTTTTTTGCAAGTGGGGTCTTAAAGAATTCAAATTTATTAAAACAACCCCTATTTTTACAATTAGATACGTTTTGGGATCAGATAATTAAAAGTTACAAATAAGCCCTCTTTTTTGACAATGTAACAGGAGGACTTGAGCTACCTGTTGAAGATAGGAGGTGGTTCTGTACTAGGCGCAGCTATAATCAAATACGGAAGCGTTTTGTTCCCAGAGATCACAACACCTAACCTCACTCAAGCCCTCTTCATTATATTTGCTCCTGTTGTAATCTCTGTTATACTTTTGATCAGATCTTCTTCCAAGAACCAGAACTAGCTCATCTCATTATGAAAAGAAAATTGTCTTGAAGAGTGTATAAGTTTCTCTATGATCTATAAATAAAAGTATTCAGCTTTTCAACAACACCAAAAGTATCTCACAACTTTTCTCTTTATATGTCAATGTCACACCTTACAAACTCCAATCAAATCAAAACCAATGTTACAAACGAAGAAACACACACACAAAAAGAATAAGCAACACCTCAGAAACTAAACCAATATGAACAGAAGATGGTAAAAATAAATGTTATGTCCCTAAAAATCTCTATTGTTGTTCTTCTGAGATCACATCTGCAACTTCCTCCTGTCTATATGGATTCTTGAAGAGAGGATTGGCCTCAAGTTCAGACAGTTTCTCCTTTGATTCAATCATTAGCATCTCCACCACTTGAGACATTGTTGGTCTCTTCTCCACCTCTGTCTGAACACACATTACACCAACCAAGACTAGCTTCTTCAGCTTCTCTTCCACTTTCTCTTCTTTCAGCTTCTGATCCACAATCTCACGAAACTTTCTCTCGTAAACAAGTGGTAACACCCACTCGGTTATCCCACGCTTTGTTGTTGCGTTTAGCCTCTCAATAGGTCTCTTACCACTAACCAACACCAGCAATAAGATACCAAAACTATACACATCTCCAGCTTCTGATTCTTTACCTGATGCAACACATTCTGGTGAGAGATACCCATTGTTACTTCTGGCTTTCGCAGCTTCGTCATCGCCAGCATCTAGCATCAGTCTACCATATCCAAAGTCCATAACCCGAGGTTCAAACTCAGAGTCTAGCAACACGTTGCTAGCTCTGACATCTCCATGGACTATACGCGGTGTTGCATGATAATGTAGGTAGCTGAGAGATAAACACTAAAAACGTCAGAAACTAAGAACATGTTAAAACTTGTTGTTGAATGGTATTTTAGAGCTTGAGACTCACGCAAGGGCCTGAGCAGATCTTATGGCAATATTTTTCCGAGTGGTGGAATCTAGAGAGCACTCTCCTGAATACTGCTGGCCATGAAGATTAGAGAAAAGGCTCAAGTTAGACATGTAGTCATATACAAGAAGACGTTCTTGTCCTTCAGCACAGTAGCCACGAACACTCAGCAAGTTCTTGTGACGGATACGGGAAAGAATCTCGATTTCAACAGCGAAGTCTATCTCTTCTTTGTTGCTCCATGCCTTGAGTCTCTTGACTGCAACCTGAGAGAACTCAAAGTACTTCTTTAGCATGTTGTAGATAACACAGTTTAGTTAAAAGAGGGAAAGATGTTTTGAGAGAGAGAATGAGAGATGAATGTACTTGTGAACCATCAGAGAGCTGACCCCAATAGACACTGCCGAAGCGACCTTCACCGAGTTTGTTGTCGTAGTTGAAACTGTTTGTGGCTGAGTGAAGCTCCTTCAATGAGAATATCTTCCGAAATGGCTCTGTTTCCACTTTCTTTTTCCTGTGTAATTGTGACATCAAACCAAACTTAACCTTAGTTTTGTCCCTTTTTCAGACCAATACATCAACAAAAACCAAGAAACAACAAATAGAGCCATTTCTGTTCTTCATCACTATTCAACGATCAGTGAAATTTTATTCAAAACAGAGTATCTATTTTTTTCTAGAAACTTCCAAGTTCCAACAAAGGAACAAACTTTACATTGAAATCATTAGACACAAAGGAAAAGCATGAAGATTTTAGCATAAATAGACTCCAAAACTGAAAAAAAAANCAAGAAACAACAAATAGAGCCATTTCTGTTCTTCATCACTATTCAACGATCAGTGAAATTTTATTCAAAACAGAGTATCTATTTTTTTCTAGAAACTTCCAAGTTCCAACAAAGGAACAAACTTTACATTGAAATCATTAGACACAAAGGAAAAGCATGAAGATTTTAGCATAAATAGACTCCAAAACTGAAAAAAAAATCTTAAAACACTAATCAAGAAGAACACTATAAACAGAGGAAAAAAGATCAAACAAATCCGTGAAGGAAAGAAGGAGAATAAACAATCATCGAGTCAGTGAATCACTCAAGAAGATAAACAGAGACGTACCCTTCAAATCCTTTTCCACAACAGCTAGTAAAAAGTTGCATCTTCAGAACAAAACCAACGGAAAAAAAAAAAACTGAAATTGAGCTTCCTTTGGTCTCTAGAACAGAGGAAAAGGGCACAAACAAAAAGGTGGCGCTTTTTGTGGAGAAGGTAACAGCAAAACAGAGAACAAGTCTTTAGAGTTAGCTCTAATCTGATAGAAAGAAGACTATTTATTTTGTTAATTTTTTTTTATTTTTTGCACGCTTACTTTTTCTTCTTGCAGAAAAAGGAACAAACTTTATAAAATAATAGAAAACAAACAAATAAAGCTGATAAAAACGAATTAAAAAAAAATTACCAAAAGAAGGAATTTAAATTTTGAATGTTAGTATAGGTTTTCTCGTATATTTTGAAAATGTTCTTTTATCTTTTACACGTTGACGAAATGTTCTTTTGGATTTTGTAGTTGTTTGTTGAGGGCCGGCTGATGATGAGTCACGACAACTCATCCTAACCTTTTATCCGGTGTTTCAAACATTAAATAGAATAAAAAAAAAACTGATGATGTTTCTGCAATCTCTTTATAACAAAATAGTAGTACTAAGAGCATCTCCAAAAAATACTCTATAACATGAATATGAAGTTTTTGGTTTTTCAAAATGAACTCTAAAACTTCAAATTTGAAGTTTTGGGTATTAAAACTTAAATATAGAGTGTCACTATTCAAAACTTCAAATTTGAAGTTTCATATTTTTATTTGTGTTTAGGTCCTTTCAATTATATATTATATTTATAATTCTCATATATTTTATGATTTATTATTTTAACCTTTAAATTTCATATCTCATAAATAATTCAATTTTTTATAAATTTAAATTTTACATATATGTTTTTTTTTTAAACAACAAGATAAGATTTAAAATAGTTAAAATTAGAACTAGACAACAATAATATTATAATACTTAATGTAGTATTTTATTTATAATTAAATATTTAATTATATATTTCTATTAATAATTTCATATTTTAGTGTAACATTTTATCATTTAATACTACTGTAATATTTTTATATATGTGCTAGTTATTTATAAAAGTTCTATGAATTTGAACTAATTATGACAAATATAAGGACCAAAGTATAAAATACAAATAGTTTTAAAGTTAAGTTTGAAATTTTGCTTTTAGAGCATAACACTTACAAATTTTATATACAGAGTTTTACAAACTCTAAAATAGAGTGTATTTTTTTAGATGCTCTGAACAATTTCAAATTTTGTTGTTGTTTATTTTTTTGAATTAAAGCAATATAACAGCATTACGATGATTAAATAGCTAGATTAGCGGGTCAGAAAGGGAATGTTTGCTCTCATCATAAAGTTCTATTTGATTGTGATGCTTCACTATCATGGGCTTCCTGCAGGAATCATATCCTAATTAATTGCAATCACTGATAATCATAATACTGTAAGAGTGTCTAAGTGATTGATCAAAATAGTTTTAGAAAAAATAAATCTGGTTTTAGAGTTTATTTCATAGATTCGTCATAATATGCAAACTTTTCATTATGTAATGTTATGCTAATTTATATACTTTTTTACATTTTTTATTGTTTCAATTCATCACATGAGATCAACAAATCAGAAATCTGAATAGATAAGAGGAATTGTATATGATAATGATGAGGCCGTAAATCAACACAACTATAAATAACGTACGTTAGAACTTTGAAAACATCCGTTTGTTTGAGTATCTCCAAACAATGCAAAACTATATGATAATTCATTATTTTAACTTAATATATAAGATTCAAAAAAGATAAACATCCTCACTGCCTCGAGGCTGCATATATCATTGACCAAGTTTGTTCAGTTCGATCCCCTCAAGCTCTTTTTGTCGGTGATTTGGGCTTGGTTAAGATATTGTAAAGTTTTGCTTGTAAATTGACTCGGGAAATGTATTTTAATTATGCAAAATGTGTTTTTTCCATGCCAGCTATAGATAAAGATTCGTATCTCTTTTTCATTGAGATGATTTTGATTAATTGTATTTAAGGAAGGGGGATATAGTCTACAATTTTGTTTTATATTTATAAGATGAACGTGTCATGATGCAAAAATCACAAACGGCCAGTCATATTGTATACTCTCATCTTTTTCAGCAAAGGATTATCCATCCAGTACTAGAAATGAATGGGGTCATTACATTCCAGAGCATATCAAACTACTCTCAAATGTGGATAGCACAATCAATTATAGGATATTTTAAGGGTGTTAGATGCGCCGAAAAAGTTATGGTCTTTCAGACAAAGACGCATAAGTAAAATTTGATGTCCTAATAAACCTTTTTATAGAGGCGCCAAACAGACAAAACATCCTCTATTGTTGAAGCTAGAACAAATGATATTGGTCTCTGTTTCTAAGCTCAACCACGTCCACGTTGAGTAGTAGTTAAACTCATAACAAATAATGGGCAAGACAAAAAACTTTTAGTTTTGTCATATGAGGTGTCAATGCCCAAACAGTTTTGCCCTGGCATAAGTAAGCCGATAAGTTCTTATCCCTAGCTTGGTCTTCCCTAATCTCAGTATCTTTGCTCTCTAGACAATAAGGCCGAGTTCAGCATGGTTAAGAAGTTCTGTTCAGTCAAATCTTAACGCCCTACACTGTCATGCACTACTTAATTCTATCTAGGAGAAAAGCTGAACATCATCAAGCTTAAAAGTGTTACGTTTTTCTAATTATACAATAAATACCCAGTATTTTGTCGATTACAATACAAAAAGAGCACACGTTTCACTATTCTTTTTTATAAAAACAATCTAAAATTTCTATATTTTCTTTCTTTTAAAGCACATGTTTATATATTCGTTTATTTGTTACCATTTACACAAAAATTATGATATCCAAAAGGTAAAGATAATCAAAATAAGCCATAAATCTTTTAAAAGTCGAGAATATAGAAAAATGAGTTATTCTTAGGTTCACCAACCAATAAGATGATGTTATTTTATATTTGATATCTTTTTCAAAAGGAAGTAAAATCTTGTTAAATTATATTATGTTTTTAAAATAAAAATATAAAAAATAAATAAAAAATAATAATATTAAAAAAATGAAAAAAAACTTTTTTAAAAAATATTTAACACTAAAACACTAAACCCTAAACCCTAATACTAAACCCTAAACCCTAATCCTAAACCCTAAACCCTTGGGTAAATCATAAACCCTTTGGGAAAATCTTATTCCTTGGATAAATTAATATTAACCAATTATACTATTTTTTTATTTATTTTTATCTTTTTATTTTAAACACATGTTTTTATTTTAAAGCTATATTAAAATATTTTTTGTTTTAAATTGTTTTTTGCAATTATTACTGTTTTTATTTTATTTTTATCTTTTATTTTAAAACATAATATAATGTTAAAATATTTTTTTATAGATTTTTTTTTCGTTTTTTGTATAGATTAATTTTTTATTAATTTTTTCAATTTTTATTTTAAAAACATAATATAACTTGACAAGATTTTGTTTCTTTTTTTAAAAGATATCAAATATGAAATAATATCATCCTATTGGTTGGTGAACTTAGAAGTTCACCATAGGAGATGAACCCAAGAATAAGTCATAGAAAATGTATGATATCCAAAAGGTAAAGATAATCAAAATAAACCATAAATCTTTTAAAAGTCAAAAATATAGAAAAGGAGAATATATATTAGCATTCTTGTCAAAGTCCAAATTCATTCCATATTATCATTACCATTTTCTTTTATATTTCTTTTAATATTTTTGTGTTACAGAACAATTTGTCAACTGTTATCTAGAATTTTAAAAACATTTATAATTATTTTTTACAGTTAGCTGATGTCGTAAATGACTAGAACTATCATGGCACTAAATTCAACACAAGAAGTAAATATTTTGTTTAAAAAAATAAAAAAATAAGAAGAAGACACGAGCTACACGTCAAAACCTAACCAAAGAACATTTAATTAGACAGCAGTAATGTACTAGATTCGCAACAACATAAATACAAACACTTAAAAATACGTCATTAATTTGTTTTAGATGAGCTTATTGGTGGAGTACAACGTATATTAATTTCCTTTTTTAGTTTGCATTTTTTTCTCTTTTAAATTCTTATCTACAGAATACACGTTTTCTAATAAAGTATTTCTATTAACATATATACCCAACAACCAAAAAAAAGCAGTACTCCCACTAAAAATTCCGAAAACGAGATAACATCAAAATAAATCTTTACAACTTGTATCAAAAATTAATTTTAAAAATAAATTAATTGATAAATAGGTTAACATGATGTCAAAAAAAAAATGTTAACATCATAGTGTAAGACTTCAGCTTTAATTAAAACAAAAATTGAATTTCACATTTTTGACAAATATAATTAAAGTAGATAATGACACTTGTAACATAATGACCACACATGAAAAATAAAAATAAAAAAGCAAATAAATCCAAAAAAAAAAAGGAAACTCCGAAAACGAGACAGCTTCGGCATAAATAGCCCCACGGCTCTCTCTCTCTTCTCTCTGTTTCGTCGCCTCTCTCTCTCATAGTTCAAAGTCAATTCAACAGGTATTACTTTAAAGAAAAAAACTCAACTTTTCCTCGGGGGCCTCCCTCGTTTGTTCTCGCACGTACGCTCCTGGGGATTCCCCTTTTCAATTCCATCGATTTGTCTCTGTTTCGACACTCCTCTGTTTTTAGATCTGTAATGAGTTTTTGCTTTTTTTTTTTTATTGTAATGTTTTAAAACCCTAATTCTCGTTGTAGTATTGAGATCAAGAGAGAGAGGAGAGGACATGTCGTCTCTCAGCAGAGAACTCGTCTTCCTGATTCTCCAGTTTCTCGACGAAGAGAAGTTCAAAGACTCTGTTCACAGGTCCAATTTCAAACTCATTTTCATTGAAAGTCTCAAACTTTTATTTGTGTTAGTTCTGAAGCAGTGTTAAAGCTTTGAGCTTTTGTCTTTATAGATTTGGGTTTAGTTGTGCTGAGTCTTGTATTGTTCTGTTTCTGTAGGTTAGAGAAGG